CACAGCGGATGCAGCTAAAGCTAAGTCCAAGAAAAGATCAAGCTCTTATTACCGGGTCAATGATGATTCAGCATCGGTGGAATCAGAGAGTGGAGATTCTTATGTTCCTTCGAAAAAGACAAAAGCGAGTGAAAAAAGACCAGGTGATATCAGTGATTTGGACCATAGATCTACTAGATCAGTTTCAACAATTTCTATCCCTTGCTTCACAGGTGGAAGATGGTACGATCGAGAAGATAGATTCTCTAGAACCTCAGTTTCTACATCAACACCTGTAAGGCAATCGTCTCGATTGAAAACAGGAAAACCTACCAACTATTCGGTAGAATCTGGTTTTGAAGGGTCAATTGCGAGTCATAACGAATCTTTCGTGTCAGTTGGAGAACAAGGAACGGATATTGCCGAAGATATTGTGCCTTCAACATCTTTTGACCCATTCCAAGTTGCTTCACGTGAAGTGAATGAAATCCCTGAAAAAGATGAAGTTACTCATCCTCAGATCACAGAAGATGACGTAGAAGATGGAGAAGAGATCCAAGAAGAAGAGATCCAAGAAGAAGAGATACAAGAAGAAGAGATGCAAGAAGAAGAGATACAAGAAGAAGATATTCCGGAAGAAGAACAAGATGCTGATGGTGAGGAAGAAGAAGTAGTCGCTGATGGAAACGAAGAAGATGATTCAGAAGCTACTAGAGATGCTGAAGAAAAAGAAAAAGTTTCGAAAGATAATTGTGAAACTGAGAATCAAGTTGAAAAGCCTACAGATTCTGGTGCAGATCTAACTTCGGTTGATGAAAATAAAGAAGATCTGGAAATACCAATGACCCAAAAAACGCCAGAAATTGAATCGTCGAGTCGGGTCTCTGAGCCAAGTGAGGCTGATGTAAAGTTACTAGCTGAGCTACAAGCCAAATACGGTCCGAGTTTATTGGAAAAGTTACAAAGAACTGATAAACCAAAACAACAATGAATATTGATCAAGTTTTCCAATTCAATTTCTATTGGATACTTTAAAAGTTTTCTTCTTCAAACCAGTAACCATTGTCTCATGAGACATTTCAAGGTAATTTTTTCTTTTTTGTTCCATTTTTCAAAATCTTTGTAATTACGAAACAAAGAACCTTGTTCAACTATCCAATCAATTTTCTTCCATTTAACCAATCAGTTTATTACCAATTCAACCTCAAATTTTTTGTTCTAATTTTTTTCAATCATTGTAACACAAAACAAAGAACCTTGATCAAATATCAAATCAAATTCATCTGAACTAACCAATCAATTTATTAGCAAATCAATCTCAATATTTATTACCCAATGAAATCAATTTTTGCAAAGTTTTCAAATTCTTTCTTCATCTTACTTCGAGTTTTCCTCATAATAAAACTACTAGATGTTTGTTCAACTTGATCAATATTGTTTGATCCTCTGTGTATCTTGAATTGACTTTCTGTTTTGAGTGTCTCTTGCTTTTATAATTTAATGTCTCTACCTCTAAAAAGAAAAAGAATCAAAGGTGATTCTTATAATGCTTTTGACAATGTGCGTGTTTTATCAGCTCCAATCGTATCTACGGTATATGGTAATAAAATACCTTCATCACAATCTATGGTTCCTGTTTCTAAGAAAACAAATTCATCCGTGCAACAAGTAAAAAGTTCCAAAGGAAGTGAGAATAATGATCCATTTCAGTGTCAAAGGAAACCGAAAAAGGTAACAACTATTATAGAGAAAGTTTCATCTCCATCTTCAAAGAATCATGATCCAGATGAGAACTCAAACGAAAACTTTGTGAAGAAAAATGATGATTATTTCCTCTTGCTCAACCTTACCCGCTGGTCACACTGGAAACTCTATATGCTGTTATGCTGCTCATTTTGAACAAGGAGTGTGTAAATTATAATCAACCAATTCTAGTCAGAATCAAGAAGAAGCAGTTAGATAATTTTGGTATAGATTATCGATCTTCGAACTGGATCATGGACCAAATCAAAAACTATTTTGAAATCAAACTAAATGGAATGAGATTAACTGCTCAAATTCTAGCAACTTCTGAATCAAGATCTGGCTTGAAAGAAGAGCTGATAAAGAATAAAAGTTTGAACCCGTCATGGAAGAATCTTCAAAAGGTAAAGCGTTTCACGGTGGAAGTGATGCAATTAAGCCACAAGCCTTTGAGTGATGCTACAGATATTCCTTGCCAGCAAGTACTTGGTGTTCAGGCTATAGCGAAGCTTTTCGAACAATCTTCGGCAAATGATGAAAGTTCTTTCAATTCCGATTTCGACAAAGCTTCCACTTCAGGTGCCCATGAATCAGTGTATGTGAAAAAAGTGAAAAATACTACAAAAAAAGATGCTGTTTATGATTCTATGGATGAAACTTCAAAATCTGAAGAAAAGGCAATAGATATGCCTAAACTGGAAAAGTTGATCAAAGATTATGGCGAGCATATGAAGGAGTTAGATAGAAAGAAAAATGTTCTCTCCAAGTTTGATACAACTGGATCCATTCTTTTCGAAATGATCGATGGACTCAAGATTCTCCAAAAAATCGTTGATGAACAAAATCGAAGAGAAATTGAATCATTCAATGAAATCTCAGAGACTGATCCAACATATAAGATCAAATCTAAGAATCAAGTTTTCCTAGAAGGATTGATTCAATTGGATCTAGATAAATACACTTTTGCTGTTAAAAATTCAAAGCCTGGAAATCCTTGTTCGTTTGCTTACCAGATCATTCGCTTTTCGTTTCCAGAATCATACTACAAGGATGTTACTTTAGGCAAGAAAATGATCACAAAATTCGAACTAGAAAGTTATTTGGATGAAAATATCGAAACAAGAAAGAACAAGTATCCTCTTTCCTTCATTTGGGGGTTTGATGATCCTTATTCTGGAAGATTGGAAGGGTCATTTAACTATAGATTAGGCCAAAAAAGAGTTCAAGCCTTTATAACTCATTTATTCAGAAAGGCAGAGATTCTTAGATATTCTGATGCCTTAGAAAAAAAGGTCAGAGGAAGAATAATAAAAGAACTTTGTGCAAGAAACTTCGATCTAACAAAAAGATCGGCGGATAATGAAACCGAGGACGATGAGGAGAATCAATCAAACAATCAAGAAGAATCGGAAGAAGCACATGCATCGAAAGAATATGGATCCGAAGATGAATCTGTTTTTGAAAATGCAACTGACGATGATTCAATTATCGACTAAAAATTATTTATTATTGAACATGGATCTTTTGATTCAATTTTTGAATCTTTTTCTATTCATCTAAATTTTGATTCTTTTTCTATTTATCGTAATTTTGATTAAAATCTTGGATATTTACTTAAAATAATTTTCTTCTAATAAATAAATCTTAGATATTTATTTTGAATCAACCCAAAAGTATCGTCTTTTGATTCCATTTAGTTTGAAATAGAAGAGTCAAAATATCTTCTAAAACACTCAAAATAGAATCAAAAACGCTCAAAAAATTTTGATTCATCATGTCGTCTTTTTGTCTTAAACAACTCGTTTTTTGACTCTCTTTTGACTCTTTTCTGTTGATTGGGTAATTGTTTGTTTATATAAATACCATTATTCTTATTAGTAATTAACAACAATTAGTTAATATTTTACATGATGAACCTCAGGAAAATCAATAATCCTTGGGAAAAAGAGAGAGAGAGAGAGAGATTCATTGGCTGGAATATTCATCATGATGTAGAAGTCGAAGAGTTGGAACTTTTTTCCTTCAACTTTTATTAGAAATCGATTCGATTCTGTACTGTTTCATTCAGACGAAACTTTTGAAAGTCATCATGAAAAAAAAGGATGAACAATCAATTTAATCATGAGACTTTTTCTTTCCTGCCTGAATATGATTCCTGCAATCTGAATGTAATATGAAACTTTTGTGATGTTTGCATTTGATGTACTTGCAAAATAAACATTATCATTGATTAATATCATGAATTTCTGAGTTCATTTCAAAATTCTAGTCAAATTTCAATGGTAAGATTATTGTATCATAATCATCATTAGATGAAAACATAATTCATGTTCCTCATCATCAATAACATCATCATCATGTATTCAGATAACAATGAACAATTTTTCATCATATGTAGATCGTTTCAAATATCAAACTACTCTTATCATGGACATTATGATGATTATCACCAGGTTCAAATTGAACATGATATCAATCTGAATAATCAGATAATCACTCATGTTGTGATGCTCAACATTTTCCCAAGATGATGATAAATCAGTAAACAAGAAGGTGATAAATTATCTGTAAAAATAACCTGATTTCAAATGAACACTCTAATTGTAATTGTTATATTTGCAATTCCTTTTTTTCAGTTTATTTTTCAGTCATGATAACGGTTCTATTTCAATCTAATGTTCAGTGCGATTCAGTTTGGAAATTTAAAATCAATATTTTCATTAAAATCCCTTCACATTGATGGTTAAAAGTGATAACAATATTTGATTACAATCGGTTGACAATTTGGTGATAGTGAATTGGGATTCAGTTGAATTTTCAACTTTTTCGCCTGTTCAACTGAATATGAACCTTGAGAACTGGTGGAAAACTTTTTTTCAACTCAAATTCAGGGAGGGAAAAAGTTCTAATCCAATTCGATGAAAAATTTTGATGGGAAAACTTTTTCTCTATTTTTTCTCTCTTGCTTCTCGTAATCAATTCAACTTGACGGAGCAAAGGAATAGGATGATAAAGAAGAGGACATTTCCTATCTTCTTCAAGTATCATAATCATCACCTCTTCATCCTAGTTATCGTCATCATCATCATCATCATCGTATTATTATTGATGAAGATAATAATCAAAGTCTCATTTATATCAATCACTTTTCCATTCAGACGGGACAAAAATAACGTTGAAATATATTATCAACCAAATGAAAAAGTGATACAAGAAAAAAGATGAGGATACTTCAGTGGATTGGGTTGATGGTGGGTTATCATGATTCTGATATTTACTTGAAAATTAGGTCACCATTTTCCCATCTCGAATCACCAGAACCATTACAACTTAAATTAGGTGTAAGACTTTTATTAAGGTTATTAGCATCCTCCACGAAAAGGTCCAAAGCGTAACCATAGATGGTCACTGCTCTCTCAATTTCCTTCAGTAACTGACCATGAGATGTGTTGAAATGAATTCCTGAAGCGAAAAGGAACAAGAAACAGAATAATAGTAAGAGAAACGATCAGAATTACGATCATGATAAATCAGCTCGGAAACTTTTCTTCCTTTCTCTCTCACTCAAACAAACAAAGTGAATAATTGGAAATCATGTAACAGATAATATTAGTAAAAGAATAAAGTTTTTAGAAAAGTTTTTGCTCTCAATTAAATTAATCAGTCATTATATTCATTACGTTTACTATTATCTACTACTACCTGATTAGAAGTTCATTGTACTCACCTAACATCCCATAGGGAAATTCAGTTGGAGCATAATGTTCAGAAGCAGTTCCAACAATTGATCTCGTCACAATCCAAATATAATTTTTACCTGTAATTCCCAAAGTACTTGCAGCACTTAAAATTTCTTGAGCTTCTTGTTTAGTTGAATATAAGAAAATAACTCGAGCCTCCGATTTAGCTAATTTATCTAATTCCAATCGAATCTCAGGTTCAGTTCGCTTTTTAATTGTAAATATGTCCAAAATATTGAATCTGATAACAAGCCAGAAGAAAAATCAATCAACTTAAAGTTCAAACTCTCAGGTATTGATTCAGAAAAAAATATATATCGACAAATATGATAAATATAATTTTCGACAAAAAGTTGCAAGTGAAAACTTACTTGAAATCATCAAAAGATAAAATTTGATCTCTAACAGCTCTAACAAAATCTTCGTGTCCACCAATGGTACTGGTCACTATTGAGAAAACATGCCATGAATATCGTCGAGCGATACTCAACATGGCGGACGCTTGATGCTCCAAACTTGGAGCTAATTGTAAAATTCTTGAATCTGATATTCGCTATAAAGAACAAGAAAATGAAAGAAAATTTCAAAAATGAAATATCAAAATTATTCCATAGCAAAAAAAAAGAGAATTGGAAATTACTATGGAACCGATAAAATAATAATAACATGTTATCATGAATACGAGAAATTGTTATCTTATATTATTAGACTCAGAACTTTTTTCAATTACAATGTGAATGGAAAAATAAATAAACTTGAAACAAGATGATAAACACATGATAAATATGAATTAACTGATTATCTCAATAAAATCATCAATTATTATCATTATCGTCATTAAACATGAACACAATTAAATAATCATAATGTATTATTAGTTAAAGTAACTAATGAATGTTTCATCAGAACTTTTTTTTTCCTCATCACTTCTGATTCCCCATGATGATGATGATTTTATCTCTCACTCACTTTAACTCTATGTTCATGATAAGATTGATTGTATTTGACTTCATTTCTGGTTCATTTCCACTTGATTGTTTAAATATTTACCTCGATTGTTTGATTAACAAACAACAATTTAAATATTGATCATCATTCCTTCATCACCATCAACATACTCAATGATATTAATAATATACAATTTAATGTTATATAACAAGATCAGCATCTGATTATCAAATTCAATTGACTTTAATCAGTTAATCAAGTACAGTTATTGTAACAATAATCATTGTAAATTAACATTGTTAATAATGATGATCAAGATGATAATCAATAATCAACATTGTGTGTTAATTGTGATTCAAGGTAAATACAAAATCATTTTGTTTATCTTGTTAATTGTTATAATTGTCGAGAAATAAAACAAAAAATAAATACAATTAACCCTAAAGGTTAATTTTATCATTTAATTGCTGATCAAGTGATGGAGATGATGATGATGATGATTATGATGATAATCAGTGTATTTTAAATGGTGGGAAAGAGCAACAATTAAGATTTTTTCTTCCTTTTTTTTCTGAATAATTGATTGCAAACTAATCAAAATTTATCTCTCACTTAATTGTTAACAATCAGAAATAATTAATACAATTTATTTTGATTGTTGGGACTGGTTTTTGTTTTTGGTTATTACTCCAAGTAAAAGTAAGTTAATGAATCCATTAGACTAAGAAAACATGAGACAAGGGAGACAATTAATTGATTGTTGCAATGAAACAAACAATTTACGATCAAATTGATTGTTACAAGTCTTGATTGTTGTTATATTTTTTTTCTTCTTCTTCTTTTCCCTTTTGTTTCAATGTTAATCACGATTCATTAATCACTATTAGATGACCAATCCATTTAAGTGATAAGGTAACAGAAAACAATCAAAAAGGTGAAAGTGATTAACTTAAATTACAATTTACGAATGGAAAAAAAAAGTTGCAAACAATTTGATATCCTTTTAAAAGAGTTACAAGATTAGCTGAAATTAACTTATTACAGTTAATTGTTGTCAACTGTTTAAGCTTATTAGTCAAAACGACCATAGAAAAAAAAAGTTAATCCGGTTACAATTAAATCTAATCAGGTAATTTAATATATGATAATAATAATGAAGTAAATTAAGAAACTCAAACTAATTAACTGGATGGTAACAAACAAAATCACAATTCAATAATTATCATCAGTTTGATTGGGAAATATAATAATAATTTGCTCATTGCGAGTTGATATTGGGATAAACTAACGGTTAATTGTGATTAAATTTGATTGCACAGACATGATAACCTTTTATTTAGTCGAGTGGTATTGAGATATTTTTTGTTTTCATGATATTTCTGAATAACATGTTACCCTGAAAATTGAAATATTAACCATGATAATCAACATGAAAGTGAGATTAACATGAAATCCTTGTACTTTTGAACATATAACCTTCAGTCTTGTCTCTATTTATGTAATTATTATATATCTCATAAAGAGGATTAAGATAATCTCCCAGTTCTGACCTAGATTTTTATTACCACCAGCACCCAATTCCAGAATGAATATCATCATAATCAAGTATCTTTCTCCATGATAACTAATAATATTTTATTCTCTTCTTATTTTTTGTTTCTTTTTTCCACTCTCATTATCCTGTTTTCTTTTTCACTTTGTATCAACTTTGACCACTGGTCAATATTTACAAGAGAATAGAATAAAATATAAATAAGAAAAATTCCTTCTTTTTTTTCATACATACGAAAACTTCTTGAAACATTTTTCTCATCTTCTTAATCATGTTCATCATTCATCCTCATCATTTCTGTTTCCTATTCTTATTTTTTGCTCCTCATCTTCTTCTAGCTACTCTCTCATTCTCGTATCTTCATCTTATTATTATTACTCAACTATCATGTTATCATTCTTGATCAACTTAAAATAGTTACATGGAAAAAGAATAGAAGAAAATTTCTCTAACAATCCATTTGATATTGATAAATAGGTTAACCTTTTATGTTTCAGTTTTTTTTTTCTCTTGAAAAAAAAATCAGCTTGTAATTTATTTCCTCTTCCTGGATTTCAATGGTAGCAACTTACTCAGAATCATTGTTACCCTGTCATGTAAACAGAATGAGATTGGTATTTATATACCAAGTAATAGGTGCATACATACAGAGACACATAATATTGTCACTATTCATTGTTATTACCTGTAAACATCAACATGACAATTTGATTTTCAATTTGACAAATAGCTACTCTTGATCAGGGTAAATAATCAACTCTTTCCAATTAACTGTAAATACTGAATTTACAAATAGAATCCAATTTAAGATACAAACAATAAGGGAAAAAGTAATAGTTTGATGAGCAAATAGATGGGAGATTGTGAGAGAAGCAAAAAAAAATTATCAATTTCAATCTAATCTACTTTCTGAATTCTCATGGTGATCAGAATAAAGATTAACGGTAGAGAGAGAGAGAGAGAGAGAGAGAAAGAATCTTCCTGATAGTTTTCACTTTATTATTGTTATGAAATTGGAAATCAATGGAAAATAATCAGGGGAAAAGGAAGAAGATATAAGATAATCAGATGAATTGGAGTTTGATCACGTTCAATGAAAGATAATCAGTATTATCGTCATAATAATCATCATGATAATCAGAAAGTTTCATTTTCCATTGAATCAAGAAAGAAATAACAATCACCATGATGAAAGAAACAATTTGAAAAATAAAAATAAAAAAAAAAGGTGATGATGAAAATTGAATGAGAAAAAGAAAATAAAAAAGAGAGAAAAAATTGTTCCAAATGATGAAATATCTTTTCAGATATATATATATAAATATTACCATGAATGAATTTATCTTCCAATGAACTTTTTTTTCTGAAACCATGAGGAAGAAGAAAAAAAAAGTTGTGATGAAAAATCTTCCTCTTGTTTCACATTTACAATTGAATTAGTGGGAACATGATTAACATTCAGTTAGATACACTAACGATTCATCATCATTATCATCTTTATATCCTCTTTCTTATCCTCATCTTCATGATGATAACAATGGATGTAACAAACTAGTCTCATGAGATAATGTATCTTAATCATTATCATGGAAATTGTATCTACAACGATTATTGATTCAATGGTAACACCAATTTTCAGTTGATCATCACAATCTAATATCTAAAATTATCATGATTAACTTGTGATCAGGTTTCAAGAAAATCAAGTGAAAAAGTTAATTGTCAAAACACTTACTTGATTCTGTCAAGTCCCGTTATAATTTGATTGGAAAAGCAAACCAGGAAGAGAGAAGGAAATTAATTAGTTAATTAATTGTTATACAACATTTAGTATAATTTAACCATTTAAATGGCAAATTTATTTTAATTGTTTGGTAATCATAGATTCACATTTAAATTGTTATTAACTTTTAATCATCTGTGAATATTATTAAAATGGATTAATGTTGATTTGTTTTCATTGAAAAAAGTAAAAGTAAATTAATTTAATCATCTTGGTTTCTATCAAATTGAATTGTTAATGTAATCAAATTAAATTTAATGTACAAAAATTTAGAAATACAAATTAACTGTACATCTTAACATTTACATTATAATGTTAGAGGAAAAGTAAATTAGTAAGAAAAAATTATTCTGATTAACGGTTAATTAGTTGGGTAATTGACCTTTTCATTGTTTCAAATTAATTAATTATAAAAATAGTAATACAGAGATTGAAACAATTAATAAATTGTGTTGGATTCATTGTGTTTCAACTTGGCTTTTAATGGTTAACCATTAATTGTTAATGATTAAACATTAACACCACAACACAATTTAATTGTTGATAATAAAAAAAATATAAACACACAGCAATTGTTATAATAGTTATCGATCAACAATTATTTGAATAACCTTTAGGTCAAAGTTAAAGTTTATCAAAAGTTATTATCTTAATATTTTTTTCCTCGAAATTTGAATATCTTAAATTTCCTGATAATCAAGAAATTCAATCTATCAACAATAAAAATTGACTGTAAATGATTAAACATTTAAGGTTTTTCATCAATGATTAATATTTTATCAATGGATGAACATTGATTGATATTAATTATCTCAACTGATTGTAGCTCTTTGAGATGATATCAAATTGACCGAGTTGAGATTATAAGTTAACCAGTTAATCTATCATCATCATCATCAAATTTCTCGAATAATATTTGCTGAAATTTTGAGTGAAAATTACGCTCAAGCTACAAAGAGTCTATGAATGGTTAAGGGATAAAAAAATTCAGCATAAAATCCTAAAAAACGGGAAAGTAGTACAAACAAAATCTGAACACTCATTCATGAGAAATTCTGAATCAAAGTTTTTTATGTACGCGAGTGCAGTTTGACTTTCTGAGAGCGCGAGATTCAAAAAGAGAGAAAAAAAGAGCATTTAAACAAATAACCAAAAAGGGAAAAGTAAAAATGAATCGATACATTTTTCGAGTCCAAAATTAAAAAATATTAATAATAATTCTCATTTCAGTATCTAAAGACATGGGCCTCTCAAACTTTCGTAACTTTCA